AAAGGAAATAATCATATCTAACAAGGAAGTAATTATAGGCTTATACACTTACCATATAAATCAAATTTACTCCTAAATTAATGCACACAGTTCATAACATGAAGAAACTTACATATTAAAATGATGAATTTCAATAGAATCGAAACAAATCCCGATTAGAGAGGTCTCGACCGAATATTGAAACGGAAACAAGAGTATTTTATAGAAGAATTTCCACGGTTTCTGATATGAGGAGAAGCAAGTAATTGGGATATGAGTGGAAGAGGCAAAAAAAGAATATGCGTAACTGTCATAAATATTTTATGTGGCGGTGCCATGGACGATAGAGCTTTCGAGTTAGGTTGAAGAAGCACAACCACTCATTTAACTCGTAACATAGTCGAATGGTGACAAAAAAAAATTATGAAAAATGATTATTTCCAACTGTAAATTGGTATTTTTTTAAAAAAAAAAACTGTAAAATTTATAATTTAATAAAATTAAATTTTTAATTAAAAATAAAAAAATATTTCGATTTGATTTTGTGCGATTTTTAAAATTAAAACTTTATCTAAACCATTTTGAAACTATTTGATTCAGTTTGAGGGAAAAATTGCAGATCCACGTGGACTAGAACAAAAAGTTTCAAACCAACATGTTCGATTCAGTTTGCAATTCCGCAATTTTTTTTATATCCCTAACTTCAATACCTAAACCAAAATCATTGTTGGCTATCCTTATGTATGAATGTTTTATCTATACCCATTTATTACAATGATTTTCATGGACAAAACCCCTTTAGTATCCCCACCACTATTATGATTTTTGTGGACAATTTAGTATCCCCACCACTATTACATTAAACTATTGTTAACTAGTCTTTTTATTTTTTTAATCAAATCCTTTTTTAAAAATTCACTTTTATAGATGTCAAAATGAGTAATTTGTTTATTTTTAAATTTGACCAACAAATATTTATTTAGCTCACGTTCTTTCAATTTTTTTTTTCTTCGTAATCATTTTTCACACATTCACGTAATAAAATATTTCACACAAAACTCAAAAAAAAATTCTACATTTTAATTACATGTTATCCAAAAATTCACTGTTCAAAATAATATTTTCCAAAAAAATGTCACCAAATGGGACTTATTTTAAATTTATTTACTTGTACAAATATGTTATAAGAGAAGAGAATAAGAGAAATCAATAGACTTGTGTGTATTATAATGAAAATCAAAGCCCTATATTTATAGGGACGAAATAGGGATACATATGGTAATAATATTTTGGGTTGCAGGGGTACAAGTGTCATTCACATTAAACCATAATTTACTTTCCTTTTACAACACTCCCCCTTGAATGACACATTACAAAATATCTATCTCGTTAAAATCTTGTTTGTTAAAAACTCAATGGGATAAAAAAATCAAAACTAAGGAAAGAGAGTACAGTTATTTTGGAGTATTAAAGATAAATGCTGCCTCATTAAAACCTTGTTAGGAAAATCCAGTGGGATAAAACCTAAGTGAAGGAAAAAGAGTACAGCTACCCCCTGATGTTGATCACTGAAAATCCTTGAGTCGACGCATTCCAATCCCGTGAACCAATTTTTTGAATGTAGATGTTGGCAGTGCTTTTGTAAATAAATCAGCCAAATTATCACTTGAACGAATTTGTTAAACTTCGATGACACCATTCTTCTGAAACTCGTGTGTATGAAAGAATTTTGGAGAAATATGTTTCGTCATGTCGCCTTTGATATAACCTCCTTTGAGTTGTGTAATACAAGCAGCATTATCTTCATACAAAATTGTTGGACTCTCTTTTGTTGAAATTAATTGGCATGATGGTTGGATATGATTGATCATGTTTCTCAACCATACACATTCTCGGCCTGCTTCATGGATTGCAATAATTTCATAATGATTTGAGGATGTTGCTGTCAATGATTCCTTTAAGTGTAAACATGTATCCTGTTTGTGATTTAGTTTTATGTGGGTCAGAGAGATAACCCGCATCTGCATATCCCACTAAAGTAGATCCCGACTTTTGAGAATAAAATAATCTCAAATCAATAGTACCCTTTAGATAACAAAAAATATGTTTAACATCATTCCAATGTCTTTGTGTTAGTGTAGAGCTATATCTTGTAAGGTGATTTACAGAAAAAGTTATGTTGGGTCGAATGCAATTTGTAAGATAAGTTAATGCTCCAATTGTACTAAGATATGGTACTTCAGGACCAAAAATCTTTTCTCCATCTTCAAGTAGACGAAAACGATCCTTTTTATATCAAGTGATCGAATAACCATAGGTTATGCCAATGAATGTGCATTATCCATATAAAATCGTTTTAAGACTTTTTCTGTATATGTAGATTGATGAACAAATAATCTTTCTGGGAAATGTTCAATCTGCAATCCGAGACAGAATTTGATTTTTCCCAAATCTTTCATCTCAAATTCATTTTTTAAATAATCTGTAGTTTTGTTGAGCTCTTCAGAAGTTCCAATTAAATTTAAGTCATCAACATAAACAGCTACAATTCCAAATCCAATATTCATTTTCTTTATGAAAACACATAGGTAGACATCATCATTTTTATAACCTTCTTTCAACAAATATTCGCTAAGGCGATTATACCACATGCGTCCGGATTGTTTCAATCCATATAATGATCTTTGCAATTTAATTGAAAACATGGTTCTCGAGCATGTATCATTTGTTTCTTGCACTTTAAGCCATTCAGAGACTTTCATATATATGTCACTATCAAATAAACCATACAAATAGGCAGTCACTACTTCCATAAGACGCATCTCGAGCTTTTGTAACACAGTCAAACTAATTAAGAATCTAAAAGTGATGGTGTCCATTACGGGAGAATATGTTTCCTCATAATCAATTCCTGGTCTTTGTGAGAAACCTTAAGCTACGAGTCGGACTTTGTATCTTGTAATTTCATTATTTCAGTTACCTGAACCTCTTCTAGGGTTTTATAATATGTTATGTCTAAATACTCATTAAGAGTATATATCTCCTTAATAAGACCATCTTTACCAATTGCTCGATTTTCGTTTAGAGGATTTTGTAATAGAATCGAATATCATCACGCTTCAATCGTACCATAAATTTATCAAATATAATATCAACGAATTGTCCTTCTAGGAGTCAATTCGAGTTGCAACATTTAAAGCTGATGTGTGAGATTGTTAATCTCTTTGGTCAGTAAATGCATCTAAATGAATTATTCTTCGAACTTCTGGTTCGAATTGTCTTTTGCGATGATTTAGATAATGATACATTTGTACATTATTTTCAGCTTCTTAATTTCTCCCCCTATTACCGAGAAAATTATCCAATCGAAATGACAATCATTTTTCCAGCGTTATAAAATATCACCCATTTGAAATAAGGGTTCAAGCTACACATTTATTCTCAACATTTCTTAGTTTCCATCTCAGTGCATTGTGGTGGATCAATTTTACATATACTACATTATCAAAATAATTTGATGGAAAACTTAGGCTCTGACCATAAGCCAAGTTGTGACTAGGAGAATTATGATGTTGGCATGATGCGTAATAACTTTCCCTAAATTGAAATGGGAAGTATTTGATTCTCAATTAAATTAATTGGAGTCTTTTAACAAACAATAATATTAAATTATTTATCGACATCTCAACTAACACTTATTAAAAAGTTAAGATTTGGGATCACTAGTATTAAAAAGACACATCGTCTTAATTGTATAATCTGAAAATTATACTCATAATTTGAGTAGCACTTTCGCAAACTTCAGGTTGCGAGCACCATGCAATCATCTAATATTTGTATCAAATCTATTAGATAAAAATAATATTTAGATGGTTAACGTGGATGAATGACGGAGGCTCATATATCACCCTAATTAATTTTAAGAAATATAGGAAATTCAATCCTTATTTAACTAGTAACAATCAATGAACAATTTTCTATAGAGAGAACAAATATCAAATATGAATTCTTTGAATTGAAGAATCTTCTGGTTCTTCGTTAAATGTTCACTTGAATTCTCATTTTGCATCATTATTGATCAAGTGATGATCCAACTGGTCATGCCAAACAAATTGAACTTCTAGTTCAATATAATATTTATTTTAATTGCACCACACATTTTAGAAATTTAGCATGTTTCTCTTTAATTTAGTAGAGAATACTATCAATAGTAAAATTTTATTCTCCTACATTACACGGTATTGATTTTTCTATAATATCAAAACAATATTCTTCTGGAATATTGATATATACCTAGTTATGATTATTCACAAATAATATAACAATATTCTTCAGATATATTGATATATTTAAATTAATCATAACATTATTCGAAAATATTAATATTTATGAATTTGTACTTCTTCAGGAACCACATGTTAATATTCTTCTGAAAAAAAATATAATTCATACTCTTCAAGAGCAAGTAATATTTTTCAGGAATATTAATTATAATGTTGTGCTACTTCAGGAGTAACAACAAAATATTTATAATAGATAGATCTACGATTAATATTCTATTGGAATATTAAAAATTATAATTTATGTTCTTCAAGAGTAAGTAATATTCTTCTAGAATATTAATTATAACGTTGTTCTACTTGAGGAGCAACAATATGATAAATTATTAATTTAAAATTTAAGGAAGAACATATAAAAGTATTTAATCAAGTTAAATACACAAAGAATATTCAATAATCATCATAAACATATATATTATAATTATTAAAAAAAATTAGAACAAACAGTACATGAACTAAAGTATGAATTATTATATGTACAAACAAACATTGCAGATTATTCACGTAATGTTTGAACAATGTAGAAGCAGCTCAAATTTCAGTCGGAGTATGATATAATAAAATATGAATAATTTTACAGACTATACTGCTCAATTCATAAATCAATAGATACACTTACCGAGGCGGATGTGTGTACTCAGAATTAGGATTTGGGCCACTTTCAACGTATTATCATAATATATGATTGATGCCCTTGTAATCTGAACGAATCCTTGCGTGGCTCACAAATTATTAACGTTTATCAATTCTTCATGCCCAAATTCTGTATGAATTCTTCAATAAACGAATTGTACAAATTCTAAAAAAAATCACATATTACCAAATTGATTTTGGTACACGTGATAAATGATTTTAAAAAAATTACTATCTTCTCTAAACTTTGAAAAATTAAGCTTTCATGTTGATAACGTGTTATAAAAGAGAGAATAAGAGAAATCAATAAATTTGTGTGTATTATAATGAGAACCAAAGCTCTATATTTATAAGGAATGAATAGGGATACATATGATAATAATGTCTAGAGTTGCAGGGATACAAGTATCATTCACATTAAACCCTAATTTATTTTCGTTTTACGACAAGATAAACTTTTTTATCATACCCAAACATTCTCCTAGTCCCAATCCCAAACCAAATAATCCCGTTCAAAATCCGTCAGATCATAAAGGCTATAACACTGCCTTCTCCTCTCGCCTCTCCCTCCACCCAGGACCACAGCAGACTACTCCAAAGACGCCTCGAAGAACCACAGCCCTCTTTTCGCCTCTATTTAAGTAAATGTAAGTGGGTTTTTTTTTTTGTTTATTTTGTTCAATTTCAATGTGTATATTACAATGTTCCTTTAAGGTTTTTATTGTTGAATTTTGTTTTTAGTTTACAATGTTAAATTAAAATGTTGTATTTAATTTTTGAATGTTGCTAAAATTTATTTAACAGAGTTAGGGTTTTTATTTAAAAGATTAAGGTTTTGAATCTAGGAATTCGATTAGGCTTAGAGTCATGCAGAAAACAGAGGCTGAAGAGGGAATTCATAGGTGTTTTCAAGTAACATTTGTGCCATTCCAACTCTAAATTCAGCATTCAATCATTGCAATTTAAATTTATCTGTGTTCGATGATTTGGAATATTTAATTTTATTACTAATCACAGGATGAAAAGAATCGGTCTTTCCCGATTGTCCTTTTTAATTAGATCTCTCTCCCGTATTTTTAAAGCTTTCAGCATCTACAAATTAGATCAGGTTAATGATTTTGAATGTACAAATTAGATTGGGTTTTAGAGTTTTGAAATTCACTGCGAATGTAGATGTTAATTCCATTGTACATGAATTTTTATGCTATAAAAGATTTTGGAGCACTAGATGATGTCATATTATGACATTTTTTAGTTATATATAAATTTTATTCTTACATTGACTTTTTAAAAGTTCAGCCTCTCAATGTAATTTCCTGCCTCAGCCCTGCAGTTATCCATGGCAAGGTTTCAAGAAGTTATATTGAAACTTGCAGAAACTCATCCAAATGCACCCTTAACGGCTGCCAGCAAGAGCATTCTTGAAGGCCGCTTGAACCAGTTGCTATCCCAGTCGCATACACCAGATCACCCTCCTTATGCTGCGGTAACCATTTATTTGTGTATGTTATGGTTACGTTGATATAATGTGGGTAAGATTGTCCATATTTCAATTATGTTGGAAATCTTGGTATAGAGATTTGTGGGTTTTTGGTGAAAGAAGGTTTTCTGATTATAAAATTGGTCTACATTGTGAAATTTGCACAATCTTTGTAAATATGTGTGGGTATATGAGTATTGTTTTATATTTCATGCATGTCCGCCACTGTGTGTTTGAAATCTTGAGTTGGATTTCATGGGTCTTTGGAAAAAATGGAATTTAATTTATTACATTGTAAAATTGGTGCTTCATATATATAAAATTAGGATCATTACATGTTTATCCATGTCCATTTGTTGATCTTTGTATTATGTTTTGAAAGGATGCTAGTGTGTCAAGGCTAACTTCCTAGGTAGAATTTTCCAGTTTTGATGTTGATGCATTATAACTTGTTGTCAAGAACCTCAAGATTCTATCTTGGTGATTTTGTGACTGAAAAATATAGGGTTTTTGGTTAAAAGATTTTACTTTGACTATTGGATTGGATAGACAAATTGACTGGGGTTTTCGTTCAGTTGAAGATGTAGAAGATTTGTAATAGCTTTCTTTGTCACACCACATTTACATGTATGTGCACGTGAGTGGATTTATTTTTCATGTCATGTTGCCTTGATTATTGATATAATGTGTGTAAGATTGATGGATCAATGTATGTTTGAAATTTTGTCACTGGGATTTATGGGCGTACATTGAAAGGTTTTGTGCTTGATAAAATTAGTCTACAATGTAAGCTCATGTTTGAGCCACATTAAAATTTTCATTATTATTCTTCTACTCATTTTCAACCACACATTCTTCAATAAAATTATTTTCCATCACATTTGAAAAACGCAAGTTCGACCCTAACAACACCTAGAGGGGGGTGAATAAGTGTAATATGCGGAATTAAAATCTTATTAACTAATTAGCAACAAATCACCAATTAATTATCTCTAGATGGTTAATCATACAATCAGTTTAATCCTAAGTTTAAATACCACACATCATGCATTTGTAACATAAAGCAGTAAATCAAACACCAGAATGATCACGGAGAAACCCAACTGGGAAAAACTCTGGGCACTTTCCCAATCAATTCATTATAAACGAATTTAACAACTTACAATCTATCAAACTAGATGACCCATACTATCTGATCACCCGACTGCACTCCTCACAACTCTCCGTGGATCTCGTGCTCTTCTACACCAATCTTTAGCTGTTGTTGCCAAAGCTCTCAGTGGAATCTGCTACCCTGCAGCACTCCAAGCCTTGTGAATTCGTCTGTCTCCTGTGGATCACGAAGAACAACCCGTTCTTCACAGATTGGAACTCCAGTCGTCTTCCTCGATCTTCGGCACATCTGACAGATATGTAGAAAGTTTGGTTTCTAGTATTTGGATATTGGATCTGATGTTTTTCCGACCAAAACACTCACATAAGATGAATGTTGAATGATGGAATGATTAGATCTCTCAATGATGAAACTCTATCAATGAACAACGTTAAGAAGAAAACGTTTTGTACGTGTTGAGGTATATATAGATAGGTCAAGAAATCAATGGGCCGAGACAAAAGCCTTTAAAACGCGAAATTAAAATTTCCCATATAAAGCTGTCGCTCGAGCGAAGAGCCAGCGACAGTGCTTCGCTCGAGCGAAGGAAGGGCGACAATCCAACGAAGCAGTTTCTGTTTTTGTAGCTCAAACCAACCCTTGGCGACAGTCTAGCAAAAATCCGCGCATTTTTTCTCCTTGTTCCAAACTCGAAACCCTAGACCTATTTAAATAACTTCTAAACAAATTTCACGTTACACCTTGAACTTTGACACTCTATTAAATTAAGTCTTTTTGTTCACAAAATTAGCCAATTACAAAATCAACTAAAACCTAACAACATCAATCAATTTTCCTTCTTTTTCAACTACACATTCTCCATAAATCTACTATTCCAAAATAATGTGGCTCAACACACCCTAAATTTTGCCAAGTCCATTAGTTCATCTGCGTTTGAGTGTCAGTTTTATTTCATGCATGTCTAATCATGCATGCTTGAAATCTTGAGTTGGATTCGATGAATCTTTGGCAAAAATGGTATTAAATTATCGTGTTGTAGAATAATTGTTTTGTACATATAATATTAGGATCTTTATACGTTTATTCATGTCCATATGCTGATCTATGTATTCTATTTTTCCAAGGTGTGCTAGTGTGTCAAGATTAAATTGGTAGGATTTTTTGCTTTGGGTGTTGATGTATTATAATTTGTTGTCAAGAGCCTCAGAATTCTATCTTAATGATTTTGTTCCTTGTTTTGTAGAGAAATGAAAAAGAAGGAAAAAACCATATGTACAGAAAAATGTTTCACAGAAGTGTTCCAGATGCTGCGTTGACAGCTTTTGATTGGATCTGTTTTTTTGTGCTTTTTGCCACGAATGAATGAAAAATCTCCAAGTGGATATCATTAAATATTCTGTGAACTAAATACTGTACACCTAGCATTGTCCGAAAAAGAATATGTAGCAAAGTATTGGAAGTTTATTATCATGCGCAATTTCTATTTGACAAATTTGCCTAGGTTCCTTGGCTGTTGTCTGCGATACAAGAGAATGATACCTTATTTCACAAATTCAATGTATTGTATTGCATCGCATTCGATTCAAATGTGCATAAGCATAATTGTCAACTGTTGTCTTAAGAGTAAATTGCAGGTTCTGTGATTATTTTTTGATTGGGTTAAGGTATGGTGATCATCCTGGGTCCAGCTCACCACTTCTGGTCTTCAATGCATTTTATTACATCATCGTGCATAAATTATCTGCTCATATCCATCTGTTAAATATAGTTTTTCCATCTATTTTGTTCCCTAATTTCTATCAATTCCAGATGTGGGTGTGTTTTGTTGACTTTTGGTTTTTAACTCTCGTCTTTCTTCTTTTTTCAGATGATAGGACGGGCACTTCTGGAGTTGAATGAGAAATTGGGTTCTAGCGAGGACTCCATATTAAAGTTTATCAAAAAAGAATATAATAATTTGCCATGGGCGCATTCGACATTACTAAAACATCATCTTGGAAAACTTTGTGAATCTGGGGATATTGTGACTCGTGGCCAGAGATATATGCTACCTGGGGCAATTCCAAGTCTGAATTCAAGCACAGGACATAAGAGGAAGAAAAGAAAGAAGAAATGGAGACTAAACTGGGACTGGCTGAGGGAACGATACAAGCCGCGTAAGAAACGCGAGTCTAAGCAAAAAAATCAGCAAAAAGGAGATCAATATGAAATGTCTGAAGACCACAAGGAATCTGAAGGCCTAGAAAATCATGCAAGTGAAAATGCAATATATCATGAAGAGAAGCCAAAATATAACATTAGAAAAAGTAATGATGGTTTTGATCCTAGCCTTTTGTCCACTGAGCTTCCCAGTAGGATGGATTTCGATGAACGCAAGTATTTGGAGGGGAATCCGCAGCAACAAGAAGACAAAGCTGAAGATAACTGCCCCAAACTTTCAAGTCAGAAGCCTCCTGGTTTCAAGTTAGCGAGTATTGAGCCTCTCGGTAGGATGGAAGTTGATGGACACAACTATTTGAAGGTGGCAAAACAGCAGCAGCGAGAAGGGGATGTAGCAGAACACAACTGCCCCGAACTTTCAAGTCGGACGCCACCTGGTTTCAAGTCAATAAGAGTTGAGCCTACCAGTAGGATGGAATTTGATGAAAACAAATATATAGAGGCAACAAAACCACAGCAGCAAGAAGGGTACAAAGCCGATGATGACTGCCCCGAACTTTCAAGTCAGAGGCTTTTTGACAAGTCAATAAGAATCGAGAACTCATTGCATTTCGGGATCTGCTCCAAGGATGAATTTAGTGCCCAAGAATGCCTCATTGTAACGAAAAAGTTGCACTTATTAGCCCTTAGAAAGCTTGATTCTGCTGAAGTGACATTGAAACTGACTAATAAGGAGCAGCTGATGGAGCATCCAGCTACTCAGGAGCCAGTGATACTTGGGCCACTAAAAGACAAGTCAGTTGGGCCTAGAGGGCTAGAACTCGTGAGTACCAAAGAGTTTTGTCAATCATTGCGTAACCGAAGGCTGCCTGAACCTAAAGCAGCAGCAACAACTACGCGTGATATGGAATTGTTGGCTTTCTCCGACTCGGAGGATCAGCATTCGCCAGAGCTTAAGCTTTCAAACCTGGAAAGTCTTCGGGATCAACACAAGACACCCAAGAAGTCGACTGTAGTCAGAGATCAGCGAGCAAAGCTCCGTAGTAATAGAAAGCAGCATGAACGTGAACAAGTAAATCTTTCAAAATCAGATGGAAAGGTAGGAGTCGTCATTTGTTAATGAGACCTACTGGCTGGGAGCTAAGAAACGTGGTAGGAGAAGAGGGAGACAATGTCGTAGCAAGAAGAAATTGTTGCATGTGGCATTGTGAATAAGCAACAAGAAGCACTAAATAATACTAGGCTTAAAAATTAAAGTAGATTGTGATTTATTTTGCTTAATTTCTTATATTTTTCCCCATTATTAGTAGTATTATTTTAGAAATTTCCATAGAGGAGCTAACAAAATATCTGATGTTACAAGTTGACATGGAGTAATCTATTATTTTAATTGCGTTCATTTTACAAATTAAAATATAGTGACCAACGTGATAATTAGCTTAAAATTTGTGATCAAAATTGAATCTTGATTGAATTTCAGTGAGCTAAGTAAACTATATTTTTTAAGAAGAAAGAAGACGACGACATTCATAATAATAATAATAATAATAATAATAAATGTATTGTATTGTATTTCGACACGAATGGAAGGAGATTTTATTTTATTTTTTATTATTCGCTTCTAAGTAGGATTCGATTCCATTTTATTATTAAATTCCAACAATTTTTTACCTTAGCTGCTGAGTTTTTATGTGGGTTAACCTGATGCTGAGTAAGAAGCAAGAGCATAAAAGATTGTCTGAGATGCTTCTCTTCTTCTCGTGGAGACCTATTTATGGATTTCTTTTTGAAACTTCGGAGCCAATTAGGTTTTTTCGTTAAATAACAAGTGAACATTTACTGGGGAATATATGAAAATGACCTAAATAAAAGGTCATATTTCCAAACTAGCCTTTGACTATTTTAAACAAATGAAACTACCTAAAATACCCCAATATAAAACTTTCAATCAAGCTATTATAATATAAAAGATTTCAAAGAAACCCTTAAAAATTCCACTATAATTCTTATAAACCTTTAATTTTATTTTGAGATTTATTTGATAACCTTATTTTTAGATCTATTTGATTCCCCCCAAAAAGTTTGTATCAGAGCCATAGAGATCATGAAAATTATAATTACAAAAGTAAATAAATATTATATATTATAAGAAAATACTATGAAAAAATAATAAAATATTTAGAAAATGTAACTATTAAAGATTTAGATAATTATATAGAAAAGGAAAGAGGTAATAAAAATAAAAAGAAAACAAATAATAAATTTAATAAAATATCTAAAGGAACAACAAGAGGAAAATGAGGATAAAATGTGAAAAACATATTACCATACAAAAGCTTTAAAAGAAACTAAAAAAGGATAATGGATTTACCAGAAATAAAACTTGAAAAACAAGTAATAGAAAATTTTAGACTCCAGTAGGATCTTGTCAAATAAAAGGAGTTCAACCATTAAACTCATAGGGAGAATCTGATAGATATTTCAATATGCAATTAAATTGGATAAGTGTTTTTTTTTATGGTAAACCTATAAAAATATAAATCCACAAGATAAAATAGCCGTAGAAGAATTACAACAGTTAAATATAAAGGATAAAAATGTTAAATAAAAATTACTAGATATTCGGAATAATTAACAATACAATTTAAAGAATTAAAAGATATGATAGAAAATGTTAAAAATATGGATGAAGAAATGATAAGGGAATTCCAAATAAAATCAGGAGAAATAATAAACCGTGATAAAATTGGAATGATTATAGAGAAAATAGAAAAATTAAAAGAAAATATAGAAGAAAATATTTATATCAATAGAAGAAAGAATTAAAAAAATTAGAATTAAAGATAGATAATATGTATGACAAACTATTTAAGGTACCAAAAACCCAAAGTACTAAACCAAAAGTTTAAAATGTCAATAAGTGAATATATTGAAGAACTAAAAATATTAATAAAAACATTAATAAATGATGTTCAAGATATAAAAAAAATGAAATAAAAGAAGCAAGGAATGATATAAATATATTAAAACTTGAAGTTAGAGAGTTAAAAGAAAATAATAAAAATAAAGATAAGAAAATAGACAAAAAACTTATAGAAAAAGAAATGTCTAGAATAAGAAAGAAACATATTGAACCAGAAAATATAGTTATAGAAACAAAAAGTATGGATGATGAATTTAGGAAAAATATTTTACCTAAGATATTAGAAGAAGAAAAATCCAAAGAAAAATTATTAGGAAAATTAAAAATTGAAGAAAAACGAGATAATAAAGATGAATGAAAAATTAGATTTACTTATAGATAATTTTGATCAATTAAGTCTAGAAGATTTAAATGAATACCAGGTCTTAATGAATACTGGAAGAAGACATAATCTAGCAGAAGCTTCTAAACAAGAATTACCAGATCCAGATGAAAGTTATGCACACATACACAATAAACCATATAGACAATTTATGATAAAATAAGATATAGACAACCACCTATAGGAAATAAATATAGAGATAGATTTGAATTAAATGAAAATTATAACAAACCTATTAATCATGGAGGGAAAAAATTTGACTTAGATTGTAAAATGGATACTAAAAAAGCTTTATTAACTTGGGCATACTCAATGATATTATTCTTTTTATATAATAAAAATGATTCATAGGAAAATACTGAAAGAAGAATAGAATTTTTAATAGCATCTTTTGAAAGAAATGTTAAAAATTGGTGGGAATGAATAAGTAATGATACAAAATCACTAATAAAAAGAAATGTACAAACTGTAATAATAAAGTCATATAGACAAGGTATAAAAAAATTAGTAGAATATATTACAGAATGAATTGAGCACTCAATCTATGAGACAGTCAAACTCTTCTGTTTTTCAATCTTGTACCAATCTTGAATAGATCAATAATATTCTAATTCTTTCATAAAAATATGATTTTCTAAACTCATTTCCAAAATATTATTGAAAGATCTAAATAAGAAATTTCTTTCTTATTTTAGCAATAAAGTGAGTTTTTCTTTAATCGAAATCTAGAGATTTATTCTTTAGAAAAGATACTGTGAGAGCAAGAAGTTGAAACAGCAAAGATCACGTGAAGGCAAGAAGCCGTTAAAGGGAGTGGTTTGCATATTCGGAGTTCGAAGGTCAATCGATTGTAAGAATAAAGATCCCGATCAAAAATAAGGTAAAACTATTATATTTTGCTAAATTTAGAAAGAATTCTCCTAAAATCTTAGAGAAATTATAATGTTTGTGTTCATATTTATAATTTTGATACATAAGATACCAGGATATACAATTAAAGGATTAGATAATTTATTAGAAAGATTGTTAGAAAAAATAAGAAATATTATTTCTCAACTAGAAAATATAAATATATTATCTGAATAATATAATAGATTCAAAGAAAAATATGAACAATATGTCACAAACTATTCTAATTTATTAGATCATAGAATGAATTTATATATTAAAATTCAAAATAGAAGAAATATAAGATAAAACTAGTTTTAGAACTATTTTAAAAAGTGAGGATATCTTTTGCAATTTATAAGAATTCATTTCATTAAAGATAACATAGACTTTTCGATGAATGAATTAAAAAGCATAATTGACATGGCCAAATACAAAAATCTCCCACATTTACCCACGCGTTGTTTCTGCCAAATCCCAAAGGAAATCATCATCATGATCATGATTGATTATGGTGAAAACCCATCAAAATTCAGATGCCTCTCAACTATTTGAAGTCTATCAAAGCGAGTTTAACCTAAATTTATCTCTCGTGTATGTGGGGGCATAGTATATATTATGCTGCGATAAGGCTCACACGAATGCACCGAGTTATGGATTCATTACCTTTTTCTTGTCCTTTTGCGTGTTGTTGAAGGTGGGGTTCCCAAAATTTTATGGGTTGTGCTATTCATCCAGGCACAATTGCCCCAACTTAAAAACAGATACATGTGGAAATTGTATTTTTGATTAAAAAAACCTAGATGTCCTTCCTTTATTTATTTATTATTTATTTTTTTGTTAAATCAAGGTTTTCTATTATTAATATAGGATATGTTTGATTTATTTCTCCTAATAAATGGAAAAATCAATTATGCTCGTATTTATCTATATATCTTTTATCAAAACAGTCGTTTCATATTCTAATTTTATTTTCTAGTTTATTAATTTCTCTATTAATTCTGACTATATTTTCTGTTCAATATAAAGGTGCAGATATATTTCTACTATTTTTTAGAAAATAGTCAAGTACAAAATAAAATGATTTAATTTCTTCTCTTTTTTCTTCACAGTCAATTTCTAAACATTGAATAATAGTAACTAAAACTTCGTAAATAGCTACAGTACAAATATTAATGGAAGTAATTGACATAAATAAGAAAGATCTTACAGTATTGAAGCGGAAAGGTAAATGCAGATTAATATCAACGAGATTTCCCTCGAGCTTGCACACATATGTTAGTGTACTCAGACATAAGTGATCTGTGTTATTTACTTTTAAGAAAGTGGATTATGGTCCAACGCGACTTCCGCACACTTATTGATTTTCTCTCTTACTCTTTTGCATATCTCACAGTGGATCCCACGGAATCATAGTTTTTCTTTCAACTCCTTGTTAATTTGAATGGTAATAGGGTTCTCATGACTTTCTCTAACAAGGCCTAAAACGCCTACACACGGCAACACGGTAATAAGATACTTGCGTTAACCCTCAAGATTTTCATCGTTGGAGTATAAGTAAGATAATAGTTTTTGAGAAAATAATAAGGATAAAAAGATAATGTCTTGAAATAACTTAATTTCATAAAAATATCACACTAATATCTCTTTACATAAGAGTACACATACATATTTCGGTCACACTTTTGGTACTTTCTCTAAGGAAATTAGAACTCCATAGAGATTACCTTATTACAAGTTTCACTCCAAAGACAGAAACTGAAAATGTTACAAAATTTGAAATGTAAGGTAAAGAGATAATTTTTTGGTTTTAGACTCGAATACCTTCTTCTATGAATTGGTCTTCAATTTATAGACTTGAAAAAGCTCCACAGCTGTCCTTCATTATTGTTCTGTTACTGTATAGGATAATGAGAATCTTACTGGG